CCCTAAAATATAATTTGGGTACTAAATGGGTATTGCAATAATATTTCTTTAGTGGACCGAAATCCAAGTTTAAGCAGAGTGGGTTTGACCCACAATTAGGCCCAAATTTAGGGAAGCCTACTACCACCTCCTTAGGGTCCCTGTTATAGTCTATAAATGCACCACATCTTTTAAAATTGAGGTACATGAGTTGTCACACACAACACACACCCCCATATATCCTAGGAATTATAATCGAGATATCTCTGAGATTGTCGCCCACCAAGACGAACGGACAAGGTGTCGGGTCCTACAATAGAAGATTAGAGGTAAACTAAGGAGACAAAATGTAATATATATATATATATATATATATATACCTGAAGAGTGGATCTTGCCACTGTTGATCAGCTCACGAACCTCCGGTCAAGTTCTGAGAGCAATCAACCAAGGCGGTTAGGGAGCCGCCGCCAGCTAGGCGTAGCCTGTCGCAGGCTAGTCACAGGCCCCCGTAGTCCTGCATAAGAAGACGCGCAGTTGCGCACAAGCATTAAGGGATGTCGTGCACAAACATGCAAACGTGTGGTATGTGAGCTTCTTGCAGGTGCCATGCCACGCTGTGAGAATCACTCCCAGGACGCGATGTCCCCGTGACACACATATGTCGGGCGACAGGTTAGCATCTTGTGTTCTTCACGCAAAAGTCGATATCCCTAGAGACTTCATCGCGTAGTTGCGCTCGACTCGGCGTCCCCAACAACTTCATCGCGCAGCGCAGAGCACAACTGGCAATATGCAACCATGTACGTAAAAAAACCTAATATGCATGCCAATGACCCCAGGCGAGCAGCAGTGCATATCCACCTGTGAGACCTAGCGACGGTCGGCTACCAGCACGCACCAGCAAGCCCAGACGAGCCATGCATGTACCAAACAAGCTGCAGTGACCCTACAATGTGGGGGAAGTTTACTTTGATTTTGCATGTTTATGTGGTGGACGAGTCTAGTTTTTGGTTTTTGTGTTGTTGAGCATAGGATATTGGTGAATCATAAACCTTGTTGATGATTGTTTGATGAAATTGAGAAGAAGTGATGATGGTCTTATGGTCATTGCATTTTGATAATTGTTTGATTGCCTTGAGTGACATTTATTTGCCTTGTGAGGTTTTGATCTTTACTCTTTTTATGTGGGATATTTGTCATATTTTTGAATGATTAGAACTTTCCCTTAAAATTGTTTAAAAGAATTCAATTAGAGTTGGGAAATTCAAAAATGATTGATGTATTTTGTTGAATTAGCTCTCTTTATCCTTGTTTTCTGATCTTAAAAGTATTTTTCACTAGTAGTTTGTTTGAGCTTTGAGCCTTTTCTTGTCAACCGTACTTGAAATGTATTTTGTTGGTTGATTTGCGTGATGATTAGTGGAAATGGTGTCATTTTCGGTTGAATGAGGTAAAAATTGAGTTGCATCCCATTGCTTGACCCAATTAAAAAAAAATGTAATAAACAAAAGAAAAAATAAAGAGAAAATGAGATCACGCAAGACGAATCAATTGGATTCTACTCCCTTACTTGTTGATTCATTTTGAC